GGTAGGATTTGTTTTCTTCTTATGGCTGAATAATATTCCATTGTGTATATGTACCACCTCTTCTTTATCCATTCATCTATTGATGGACACTTAGGTTGCTTCCATTTCTTGGCTATTGTAAATAGTGCAGCAATAAACATGTGGGTGCATCTGTCTTTTTTCAAACTGGGCTGCTGCATCCTTAAGGTAAATTACTAGAAGTGGGATTCCTGGGTCGAATGGTATTTCTATTTTGAGGTTTTTGAGGAACCTCCATACTGCTTTCCACAATGGTTGTACTAATTTACATTCCCACCAGCAGTGTAGGAGGGTTCCCCTTTCTCTGCAACCTCGCCAACCTTTGTTGTTATCTGTCTTTTGGATGGTGGCAATCCTTACTTGGTGTGAGGTGATATCTCATTGTGGTTTTAATTTGCATTTCTCTGATGACAAGCGATGTGGAGCATCTTTTCATGTGTCTGTTGGCCGTCTGAATTTCTTCTTTGGAGAACTGTCTGTTCAGCTCCTCTGTCCATTTTTTAATTGGATTATTTGCTTTTTGTTTGTTGAAGTGCATGAGTTCTTTATATATTTTGGATGTCAACCCTTTATCGGATTTCTCATTTGTGAATATATTCTCCCATATTGTAGGGTCCCTTTTTGTTCTATTAATGGTGGCCTTTGCTGTACAGAAGCTTTTCAGCTTGATAAAGTCCACTTGTTCATTTATGCTTTTGTTTCCCTTGCCCGGGGAGATATGTTCATGAAGAAGGTGCTCATGTTTATGTTCAAGAGATTTTTGCCTATGTTTTTTTCTAAAAGTTTTATGGTTTCATTACTTACATTCAGGTCTTTGATCCATTTCGAATTTACTTTTGTGTATGGAATTAGACAGTGATCCAGTTTCATTCTCTTACATGTAGCTGTCCAGTTTTGCCAGCACCATCTGTTGAAGAGACTGTCACTTCCCCATTGTATGTCCATGGCTCCTTTATCATATATTAATTGACCATAAATGTTTTGGTTAATATCTGGGGTCTCTATTATGTTCCACTGGTCAGTGGCTCTGTTCTTGTGCCAGTACCAAACTGTCTTGATTACTGTGGCTTTGTAGTAGAGCTTGAAGTTGGGGAGTGAGATCCCCCCCACTTTATTCTTTCTTCTCAGGATTGCTTTGCCTCTTCAGGGTCTTTGGTGTTTCCATATGAATTTTTGAACTATTTGTTCCAGTTCATTGAAGAATGTTGTTGGATCAACTCATTTTTGACAATGGAGCAAAAACAATACAATGGAGTATAAGTAGCCTTTTCAATAAATGGTGCTAGAACAAGTGGATGTCCACCTATTAAAAAAAAGAATCTAGACACGGACCTTATACAAGTCATAAAAATTAACTCAAAATGGATCACAGACCTAAATGAAATATAAAACCCTAAAAGTCCTAAACAATAACTAGGAGAAAACCTAGATGACCTTAAGTATGTCTATGACTTCTCAGACACAACAGCAGAGGCACAATACATGAAAGAAAGAATTGATAAATTGGACTTCAATAAAATTAAAATGTGTCTTCTGCTAAAGACAATGTCAAAAGAATGAGAAGACAAGCCAGAGGCCAGAAGAAAATATCTGTAAAACATTTATCTGAGAAAGGATTGCTATCCAAAATATACAAAGATCTCTTAAATCTCAGCAAGAAAAAAAGATTAAAAAATGGGCCAAAGACTTTAATAGACACTTCACTAATATATATATATATATATATATATATGTATGTATATTATATATATGTATATATACACATACACACACACACACACACACAAATAGCAAATAAGAATGTGAAAAGATGCTCCACATCCTGTCATCAAGGAAATGCAAATTACAATAATAAGATAACACTACACACCTGTTAGAATGGCCTAAATCCAGAACACTGTAAACACCAAATACTGGTGATGGTAGAGCAACAGATCTCTCGTTCATTGCTGGTAGGAATGCAAAATGGTATCGCCCCTTTGGAAGACAGTTTGAAGGTTTCTTATAAAACTAACCATGCTCTTACCAGTGATCCAGCTGAGAAGTGATGAGGAGAAATAGCACAAAGGATTTCTGTAACAGTGAAACTAATCTGTATGATACTATAGTGATGGATACAGGTCATACATTTGTCCAAACCCATAGAAGATACAACATCCAGAATGAACTGTAATGTAAACCATGGACTTTGGGTGATTATCATGTCTCAACATAGGTTCATATGTTGTAACAATGTTGGTTCATAGATTTAACATTGGGGCTTGGGCAGAGGAAGTATATTGATAAGGGGGAGGCTTTGTGTGTGGGGGGACAGGGTATATATGGGAAAATCTCTCTATCTTCCTCATAATTTTATTTTAAATCTAAAACTTCTAAAAAATGAACTGTTACTAATTTTTTTTAATAATACAAGGTAAATATTAAAGAAGTTACAAGAAGAAGGTGAAAATTCCTAACTGAATTGGGAGAATTTTAACATCTCTTTTTAGAAGTGTATAGAAGAAACATGCAAAAAGTCAGTAATAACATAATTGGACAAACTGACTTAATAACATTTGCTTAAATAACATATAACACTCCAACAGCTGTAGTATGCACATTATTCTCTGGCACACACAGAGCATTCACAAACTTTCACTTACACTGGCCTTAAATCAGGTCTCAGAAGTTTCATAGGAATTGAAATTACATGCAGTGTGTTTTCTGAATATAATGCTAATAAACTATAAATCAATAATACACTATAAAAGATAACTAGAAAGTCTTCATTTTACTGAAAATTAAGAAACATCTAAAATGCATCAAATAAATTATATGAAAAAAGTTTTAAATAGCTGAATAATAACTTAAAAACATGTATTGTAGTATAAAAGAGAGATAGTTAATAAAATAGAAAAAATGCAATATATCAATAAAGCTGAAATTTTTTAAAAGAAATTTGATGAACCCATGGTAAGTCTGACCATGAAAATAAAGGAGAAAGCACAAATAACCAGCATCCGGAATGAAAATGGGGTGAAATGATACAGATTAAAATTGTAGTAGGAGAATATGTGATTAACTTTATGGCAATACATTTGAAAATTTGGAGGAAATAAAAATTTCCTAGAAAAATATGACTTACTGAAACTGACCTTAACTCATATTATAGACAAGCAAAAAGGAAGAAAAAAAATCAACCTGTGACAGTATTTTTAAAATTGTATGCCGAAGACTGTGTCTCACAAAGATCTATTAGACCTTATTGGGGAAATTATAAAATTTTATCAAAAATTTTAAGGAAACTACAAAAAAATGTATGAATTAGAAGACAATTTCAAAGATTTTGACTCTTCCCAAATTAATTTATAATTAATTTATATATACTTCATAATTTTTCTTAAATACTAAAAGATTTTTGTTTATGGATGTTACAAGTAGAATCTAAAATCTGTATGGTAAGTCAAAATCTACAAATAGCCAAAGCATATTCAATAACATGTATAAAGTGGGAGAACCTGCTAAATACCATAATTTAACATAGAATTGAGGCAAATGAGACAATGAATATAGTGGTGTGGTATGGTATGTATACAGTATTGTATGTTATGGATGGTACACTATGGATGGGATGAGATAGAACGGTAGCAATTTTAGGGTAAGGTAGAGCAGAGTAGAGTAAAATATATAGAAAATGACAAATGATAGAGGACTGTGCAATATGCTTAATTGGTATTTAAGAGAGATGGCATTCTGACTCAGTGGGTGATAAGTAGACTTTTCAATAAATCTTAATTAATTACCTATACTAAAAGTAAATCTGGCTGCATTAAAGACCTAAATGTAAGAAGCAAAAATATACATCTTAAAGAAGATAATGTAGAAGAATATATTCATAACCTTGTATATAGAATTATTTCCTTAAATATATGCAAAAGGTTTTGGTCATGTTGATATTTACATAAACAATTACGAGTGTCTGCAAATCCAAAAATGTAGTGAAATGACAGCTCACAGAGATGGAGGATATATTTGCCACACATATAACCCACAAAGGTGTCAAATCCAGAATAATAAATAATTCCTAAAAATCATTAAAGTACAATCAGCCTAATAGAAAAAATAAACAAGATACTTTAATATATATTTCACAAAAGAAGAAATCTAAATAACTGTGAGAAAAAGGTGCTTAATTTCATTTGGTAGCAGATAAATGCAAATTTTAAAAAGAAGCCTAATAAAACTAAGTGTTAGAGAATATATAACCAATGGAATTCATATATTTTGCTGATTGGAATGTAATTTGGTATATTTGGAAAACAATTTGAGATTACAGTAGAGTTGAAGATATAACTACCATATGATTCTTCAGTTACACTCCCAGATATTTATCTTATAGAAGCTCTTATACAAGGATCATCCGGATGGTGTTCTTAATGGCCAACACCCAGAAACACCCCATATGTCTATCAACAATGGAATGGATAAATTCTCCTACATCCATATAGTGGAATACAGCAATAAACTGTTACAGTAATAAATAATGAAATAAATCTATACAAAGAAACATAGATGAATCTCACAAATATTGAACAAATGAAGACAAAAATACCTACAGAATTATCATACTTATGTATAGCTCAAAAGCAAACAAAGCTACATTAAATGCTTAATATATAGATGGTGAAAATTATAAAGGAAATCAAGAAAGTCAAAGTTACAAACTTCAGCAGAGTAGTTACCCTTAGGAAAGTAAGAAATTTTTGAACAAGACTTCTGGTGGACAAGCAGTGTTCCACTTTTTTTTAATGATCGGTAGTCCCATGGACTACTTATTTATATTTTTATTTATATGATTAATTTACACAATTTTTATATATATGTCCCATAATTTATGTATTTACAGTGTATTTATAAATCTTGAAATCATAAACACATGCTATATGCAGCATTTTGTGTACATTGTATATATATCAAGATAAAAATATTTTGAAAAGCCTCCAGTGCTCATTTCAGCAGCATATGTACTAAAATTGGAATGGTATGGAGAAAATTAGCATGGCCCCTGCACAAGAATGACATGCATAGTCTGGAAGCATTTCTTATTTTGCCTTTCTTTCTAATGTTCATGAATGATGGAATTAAGTGTCTGCTCAGTGAGGCAACTTGCCCAATTGAGGTTATTTCCAGCTTTAACCCCACTTCCAATTCATTATCCAAAAAAAAGAGCTTCCACAAATCAATATTTACATAAATAATTTAAAGCTATAAATTAATTTGTAGGGAAGACCTATAACATCTATCTTGACTTCGTTTTCCAGAGTATGAGTAGATGAGTAATGCTTTTACCTATCTTTTCAAAGTGAAATCCGTGAATGGAGGACCTGATTCATTTACAATGAAGTTCTCCTACATAAAACAAAATTCTATCTTTCTAAAGATAGTATAATAAAAGATAAAATTTTGCATTCATGTTGTATCCACTTAGAAAATTCTTAAATCTTCAGCAGACTATGGGGATACTTGCTTAAATTATTAACTATGAAAAACAGTAAATTTGGAGCTAGGTTTATTAGGCATTGTGTCGTCGCTCAAATTGTGATAGAAAATTAGTTTTACTTATATTTACTGACTTTTATAACTAGGAATATTTTAATATATATTCAGCATTTCATAAGTTATCTTCTCAGTATTAAAAGCATATCTGTATTCTTAAGTTTGACAAATATAGAAGTCAGATGTCAAAATATAATGGACAATGAGAAATGCCTTGTGATTGTATGACATACATGCTGTGGCTATGAGAATTTATGTTTTACAGCTACTAAAGAAACAATGCTTACAATGATATAAAAAATGTTCAGTTGTGTCCATCACACCTCTATCTTTGATGTATTGATATAAGAACATTTATCAGTCTTTTGAAATAATTAAAGAAATTGACCATCTACTTGGCCCTCAATTAATAAATGTATATGAATGAGTAGAGTTAGAAATATATTCTTCCCAAAGAGTTGAAACCTTTAAATATGGCTGGGACATGAAGTCTCAAACAATACCAAAAAACAGGTGGCAGTAATATTTATGTGGCCACTATGACCGTGTTATTTGAAAGCCAACCTACTTACATCACCAGCCTCTCCGTTACTCTATCCGGTGGGTCCTAGTTTGGTTGACCTACTATATTAACACTCCCTGGGGGAGTCTAGGTTGAATAAAGGAATATTTTCTCAGAGTAATTAAATTAAGAGGGTGAAACAAGAGAGAATCATGTCAAGGGAACCTCCTTCATGGTTATTACTGAGCAATTGCTAAAAATTATTTGAAATAACTTCAAATCAATTAGGACTGTGTACCCTTCTTATCTTTTGGAAATTAATTTTTCTTTATTAAAGACCCACTAAAATCCTCATATATTATGTAATAAAATACATTTTAAAAGTCCCTGTTACAGATTTACAATTCTGGACTTCCTGGACTCATCCCAAGAAAATTTACTGTCTAGGTTAGTGGTTAATCCTGGAATCTTTCCCTCCTGCCAGTGACCCCCTGGAACCTTGAACTTGGCCTGGATTTAAAGACTTCTACAAATAGCCTTGCCTCCAGGGTAGGTAAGTCTTATCTCATGGTAACTGAGACTTTATATTATTGTTATTATTATTATTATGAATTTTAAGAGAAAACTGAGGCAGAGTACATAGTTAGCCCAAGATTACACAGCTACTAAGTGAAAAAGCTAATTTACTGTATGCATGTTTGTTGCTATGCAGACAGAGGGTGAATAATGTATAGCTTCTCCTTTATAGACCAATTTATTTTATAATTAATTTCTCATAGGTCATGATTCCAGGCACTCATAGGGGAAAATTAAGTGGCATGCCAGCTCCATAGGAAACAGTAGAAAGTAATCTTAGACAGTGACTACTGGGTAGTTCTAAAAACAATATCCCATTGACACATATATTATATTACTTAGAAATGGGGAATCTACCAATACTATGGCAGAGAAGGATGAGTATTACTGATTTTTCCTTTCACCTCAGGTTCTAGTAGAGCGTGGCACAGCGCTATGACTGATCCTGTCATTTAAAACTTTGATATTTTGTTCATCATGGATATTTTCATTAATTATGATTTTAAAACATTACATTATCTTGATTACTGAGTTTTTCGGCATTTTTTAAATTTGTGTGCTTAAAGCAAGTATCTTGTTTGTCCCACTTAATTTACCCTAATCCTGGCCCTAGTTAAAAGCAAACGTGGAGATATATTATGCATTCATATGTATATGACTTTAACAACCGGTTATTTTCTTATGTGGCTCTCACAGAAGAAACTGAAGAATCATCCTTTATGTAGCATTTGGTGTTCCGCTATAAAGATATGAATAAGGAGATACAGCCCAACTGAACAATACAATGGCAAAACCTGTCCTTTCAGGCAGAATTATGCATAAGTTGAATACAGAACACTCACTATAATGGGTAAATAAGCACAACTACATCCACTTTGTAAAATGATGTTTCAGAAGGATTCACTTAAATTTAGCAATTCCATAGTATTGAAACTTGTGTCTGCAAAGCCCATATATTTTAAAAGATATGATTTAGTAACTCATTTTTATTTTTCTTTGCTTTCTAAAGGTCATTCATACACTTTATGTGCTACCCAACCTCTAAACAGACAAATTTTGAAAAGTAACTCAAATGTCAGAAACTAATAAGTATTTTCATTCTAGTACTTTTTTTTTTAACTCTCTCTGCCATAAAATATAGTGAAATATGTAAAAAAGTGATTAGTGCTACAGGTAGCCTTTGACCTTCCTAGAGTTTTGGCTCTTTTCCCAAAATTTCTGTTTTCAAACCTTTGCACAACAATCCTCTTCTTTATTCATGAAGTCATTTTTCCTTAGTAGTCAGTTACATATATATTTAAATATTTTAAAAGAATAGGGATGTTGCTTGTCACACACAAATAGCTCTTGGAGAGTTACTAGTTTCATGCCAGTGCTGTCAACTTTCCAACAACAGACTGGATTGGTTAAGGAAAAAGCCATAAACAGCCTATCAACAAGTATTTATACAGATGTTAATGACTTTAAAATTCTGTTAGTGTAACATTTATGCCAAATTCCAACTTCATTTGTGCAGTATGATGCAATACCTTATTTTAATAAACACATACAGACCACTTACACTTTATAATGACTCATATTTTTAGTATTTCCAGCACAAAATACATAGAATTAGATGTTTATCAAGTTACCAAAAGTATTTGCAACAATGAAGCACTTTGCTCAGCATGCAGCCATGTCCTCCAAAATCTTTTGGGAGAGAATGAACTCATCTTCATCCATGAGACCAGGATTGTTTCATTATTACATTACTGAGAAAGGCCATTAAGGAAAAGAAAGTACTCATGGGAAAGTTGCCATATGTACTAAAAATATAAATAATTATCTTCTTTTTTGTGTGCCCCAAATGATAATTGAATCTTAATCTCCCTCTATAGGATATTGTTATATTAAAAATTTAGAAAGCAACTATATTTGAAGCATATGGGTTTAATGAATACTTTTTTTTGCTTTTTATAAAAAAAGAAAAATATTTCTATTAATTTTAAAAGACTTCATTTCTATTGGTGAACTTCTTAAAAGCTGAACTGCTTTCCTCAAGGATGGCGTACATGGTGGACATTTTGTTAAGTAGGCTTATATAACAGAATAGTTTTGTTGTTTGTTTTTTAATTTGCTACTTTTAATTATCAATTTTTATCAATCAGATTCTGACTTTCAGAGCTGAAGTCTCTGAATTAAGTCAATCATGTTTAGACATGTGTTATCCTCCACAATAAACAAGTTCATCTACATGATGAAAATCTGAATTCCAGCTCTACATTTGTCAGGGCACTGAAAAAAAATCAAACAATTATGATGAATATTCCATTATTTCGCCAGTATTTATTGAACACCATCCTACTATGTACTACTTAAAGAACTTATATTCTAGTAGGTCAAATAGACACATGAATGAAAAGTAAAATATAATGTAGTAAATGCTATCATGGGCTCACTACGGGATCCTTGGGAGGATAGCCCTAATTTGAATTAGAAGCATAGTGTTGGAAGATCAGGGGCTTACACCAAAAAATATAATTTCTAAACTGAGACCCAAAGACCTGAAGCAAGGACAGGACACCATTGGTAAGGTGGATAATCTGCAGACATAAAGTCTTTGAATCAAAGAGACCATTTTGAATAATTTTATCTGGGTGGTTGAGGCAGGACCCTAACATCTGTGTCTAAAGGTATATGCAAGGCCTGTATGCTATGCAAAACATTTTGAACATTATCCAAAGCGAGTGTAGAACCAGGAGTTTACCCTGTGAGGCAGCGTGATGACATTTGTAACTTAGCCAGACCATTTGCAATATGGAGATGTGTACGTGGAAGTAGAACGAAAAGCAGAAACCAGTGAGCAGGCTCTTAACAGTAATTCAGAAGAGACGCTAGTAGCCTGAATCAGAACAGTGACAATGGGAATACAGAAGATTTGACAGCTTGAAAAGAATTTATGAGGTAAAATATGCATTCGAGAGTGAGGAAGAATGCTGATTCAGTACAACCCTCTGGCCTCTGAGCTGTTCATCGACTGTGGTGATGATGTTATGGGAACTTTGGAAAGGTGGGGTGATAAAACATGAGTTCAGCCTTTTTATGTACTTGGTTTAAATGATCTGTGGAATACCTGAGAGGCTTTGGATGTTTCAGAAAGAGATAATGAACATGATTAAGTAACTTGAATATTTGAATGAATATTCCAATTCAGGAAAGTATAGTCTAGAATGAGATGGGACCAGGATAGAACCCCAGAGAAGAATACTGTGATTGGAGGAAAGGGAAGGGAAGAGGCACCCTTGAAGGAGACTGATGTTTGAACAAAAGGTCAGAGGAAAAAACAAGAAGAGTGTAATGAAACAAAACCTGAAGGAAACAGAACTCTCAAGGAGGAAGGAGTGGACAACAGTGTCTACACTGGGGGGAAGCACAATGGCAGTTATGCAACAGAGATTGGGCTTTGTCTCCTATTTCAAGAAGTTTATCTGATTAGAGAAAGAGAAAAAAGTAGAGGAAAAGGTAAAAAGCCATTTTTGAGAGGTATTGGAAATACAGAAGAAAAAAGTACTGAGCGAAAGAACGCCCAGACTGTCTGGAAGGGTTGGGATCCAGAGGGGACTGAGAGCATTGAGGTCAGGAGGAGGTGCGCCCCTTCTCTTCTGCTAGGTAACAAAGGTACCTTTGCATCTATGGTACCACATACAAGCCAGCCCACTTCCGTTCAAACGGAGTCTGAAATAACAATGGGGCAGCTGGGGATGGAAAACAGGAGCCAGAGATGAGTGAGATGCCCAGCAGCTGGCCTCGACCTATTTTCTGATTGGATGCTGGTACTTCAGGAATGAGCAGCCCTAGGTTGACTCCAGAATATCCGGTCTGGATAACCTAGGACTTCAGGATGATGATGATAAAAACAAGTTGTGGTTCTGAAGTTCAGCTAGATACGAGAACAGGAATAAGAAAGAGGTTGATGCTATCTAGTCCTCTAGGCTTCCTGTCCCTTGAGGTAATAAACAATGTCTCTAGTTTACTATCCTCAGAAGCCAGGAAGTGCCAGGCAGAGTAGAGAGTGGTGGGCTACTAGGTACTTGCAGAATGAGAAACACCAAAATCTTAAGGAATCCATGAAGAATCCCGAAGCCCTTGGAGTCTGGTGTTTCAAGGTCCTGCAAAGAGTTTTAAGATAAGGAGATGGCCTGTGTAGTTGAATTCAGCAGAGAAGCAATGAAGATAAAGAATTAGATTGTTTAATAAGACAGTTTAAGGCCTTCTTAGTAAGGACAGTTTCAATTTGACAAAATCATATTGCAGTAAGTCAAAGAGGAAATGGAAACTGAAGACGCAGAGAGAGAGTAGACTTCTCTTAAACGAGTTTTGTTAACCAATGTATTTTAATGTTGAAGACAAAATATCAGGAGACTACAGAATTTTCCCCCGATATCTTATATCTCATTTATGTGAGTTTATTGAATTGGGAGATGCAAACCTATAAGTTATGAGGGGAAATTGGCTTGTAGTTTAGAAGACAGCTAGCAAATAGATACATTTGTACACCTAAGGAAAAAGAAAGGTGTCCCTTTTGAAAGTACAGTAGAAACTAAAATGAAAAAATGGACAGGAGAAAATATTTGCACCAGTGATATCAGATAAAGGATTATGAATGGTGAATTGAAAACATCATAAAGGGAAATACTAGGATCCAGCAAATAATTGGAGAGAACAAGAAAGGTAATTTACCAAATAACCTATAATTAATAAGTTATCATGTGAAATAATGTTCAATCTCATTAACGGTAAAGACATATAAATTAATACCATAATGGACAATATTTTTGTCACATTATCAACAGCTTTAAAAATTAAATATTCCCGTGTTGACCCGTAGCTCAGTGACATGAGTAACATCACATAGTATGTGGTAAATTGGTGAAAGCTTTAAACCTGTCTGACATTATAGATTCTGAAGTGTTCCTCAATGAATTGTAGTTTCAGGCCTGTTACTTTTAATTTACCTGAAAAAACGAGTTAATTAAATGGGATAATTAAAAACAGTTGGTACATCACAGTATAGCCACTAACAGTATATTAGGATGAGAGTTACATTTAACTGAATGTATTTTTTATAGGATTAACTGAAAAGTTGATGTATAGAATACAGACAAAATTGTTTGTATGTAAGCAAAAAATCAAACTAATGTATAAAAAAAGAACTATAAAGAATATATATAAATATATGTATATATTATGTATTATGATATGTGTATTATATATATGAAATTTTACATGTGAATATTATAAGGGTTGGATTTTTCTTTTTTTTTCATTATTTTCTTTTATATTTGTTACTTTATATTCTTACCTTGTATAATTTTTTCTCTTGTGTATTTTCCAGAGCCATCTGACTACTGTGCTTCCCCACCTCCATCTTTGAAATAGCTGCTAAGACATAAGCTCAGGTTCCCTAAACCTGATATATGCTTAAAATAGTGTATTGGTTAATACCCCTAGGATAATTTATAAATTCTACATATGAGGAAAACTAGTATAGGAACAACTGGATTTTAAAATAAGCTTCAAAAAACATAATGATATTCTTTTTTATACTAGAATTCTACTGTCTGCCAAAAATAATTATTTGAATTTTTAAATTAAAAACTGAAAGTCAAGCCCTATAGAATGTTGGTTGCATGAAAACATTTCCTTTATTTTTTAAAATAGGTGGGTTTGAAACTCAAGCAGGAAAACTACTTAATCTGTAAGTGACTAGCATTTTTCTTACAGATTATTTAGCTCCCATGAATTTTTTTTTTCCTTTTTTCTATAGTTCTTGTGATAAAATGTCTGGCATAGGCTGAACTGCATGGTCAAAATTTGATCTTTTTAAATGATAAATAAAATTTCCTTATTTTCCCCCAGGTAAGGAAGAAGAATTTACTTACAAGGATACCACTGCAAATGAAAAATTAGAAAGGAGTAAAGAATATACATGTCAATGGCTTCACACACAGGTTGGGGTTCATGAAACTAGTTCCAGAAATATGAAATGGTGAGGTCATTTCTTTTAAATTAGATTTTTGCATTGTAAACACATCTTGAAAAGTGAAACCTAGGTTAATTGTGCTAAATGACATTGTAGCCAAAGGCCAATACACCACGCTGCCAGGTTATTATAAGGCCTCTTAGATAGAATAGATTTAATCAACATATTTTTCACCCTAAAATGCTTGAGAATTCTGTTTCTGTAATGCTTAAATCTAACAGATGAACCACACATGATTCTACTTTATAAAGTAAGATGCATGGTATCCATTAACTGTTTATAAATACCATATGTATTACAGGTTGTATTTTACTTTGTGTTATTTTTGTTATCATTTATGTTTTACAATTCAAATTATAATTTGACCCTGACACTCCCACTTTACCAATCACATAACTATTTTCAATAATCTCTCAATGCTTCAGTTTCCTGTCCTTTAGAGTAAGATCATAGTATCTATCTCATGGGATAGATGTGAGTTCACTAAGTTAAAGATATTTGATGTTTATATCCCTTTACAACAAACAAGGTGCTAATATGTACATTAGCTGAAAGCCTAACTGGTAATCAATTATTAAATTAATGTACCTATTAGTTTGCTAGGGTTTCCATAACAAACTACCACAGATTGGGTGGTTGAACAACAGAGATCTATTTTCTCACAATTCTGGTTCTGGAGGCAACATGTCCAAGATCAAGGGGTCAGCAAATCTGATTTCTTTGGAAGTCTCCTTGGCTTGCAGATGGCCACCTTTCCCCTGTGTCCTTCTATGATCATCCCTCCATTTTTGTTCTGTGTTCTAATCCCTTCTTTTTATAAAGACACAGGTCATATTGTACTAGGGCCCGACTATATGGCCTCATTTTACCTTAATTACTTCTTTCAAGGCCCTATTTCCAAATACAGTCACATTCTCAGGTGTGGAAGGTGCTTTAATTATTTTTACTATTAGGTATTATGTATTAGTTATAAGTTGAGGTATTAGGATGTCAACATAAGAATTTTAGGAAACAAAATTCAGCCCATAGCAATGTAATATGTGCATAACCACTAAACTGAAGTTTTAAGGAAATAAAAGTTCAGAGATAACATTCTTTACATACATTTTCAAGATTTTTTCATCTTAGCTACATATATCCCCAAAATAGTAATTTTTAAAAAGGCTATTATGAGCATTTACTAAATATGTAAGCCAATATTGATTCTAAATGTAGATGACACTTTGCAAATATTTCCAGGCTATTATTCTGGGTAATAACTAGGTAAGTAACAAACAAAATCTAGATATTATGAAAATTAAAGCTTAATTTAGCAGCAAGTTAAAATTTGTAAAAAATGACACCTTTTAAAAGTAATATGAATTGTAGCCCTTATACATAGTCACTTCTATCCGTTCCTTTAAAAAACTCCTTTAAAAATCTGGAAAAGAAAGTGAAGAATGAAAGTGAAATCAAAACAACATTTTACAGTCTGGATTATTATGTCCTATTTCATTGTGAGCAAAGAAAGTAGGAATAAAGAGATCAATATAATTTTTATTTTACTAAGTATTGAAAGTAATGCAAACAATTTGTTTTATATTGGTATTAGTCAATTTAGTGTCATTCATAAGATGACATCTTTAGAACTATAAACAAATATTGTGTAACCCATGGCTTACCATCTGTATTAACCAGATAGGAGAAGACTAGTTCAGAGATTTAAAAGCAAAAGTACAGATAGTGTGAAAAACATAAGCAAAATATTTCAGGATGTATTTTAGGCAAAAATTTAATAATATCTTTTGCTCCTAAATAAGTTATATTAAAACATTTGTTGCAACAGATAATTGTTGATGGTTTTTCTCTTTTGAAAATATAATATGTAAAGTAGTATTTTAATGATTTTCTTTAAGAACAGGAGTTCTTAAAGAAGACATTGTCAATATTCTGGTTTTAAACAGACATTAATTATGACCATTAATATAATGCATTAAACAAACTTGAGCTGTTTTTAAAATAGGAAGTTTCACCTTTCTCATAAGACAAGATATATTAGAAAGTAGATAAAATATTTTTTATAACTAATTACCTATCATTATTGGTACTTTCAATCATTTGGCTCATTTCGTGTGTTTATTTTTGGCAATAAAAAATAATGTTGAAGGTCTTATTTAGAAATTGAAATTTTATGTGAAATTGAATTTTAAAATGACAGTGGAAAGATATAAATTTGTATTTATCTTTACATGTAACTGATTTTAAGAAAGCTATTATTTCTATTTTGTAAATTACTAATTTCTCCCCAAATTTTCACTGGGCATTTCTTTCATAATCTTCCTCTACATTTATATAATAATGTGATTTCTGTTTTTGTCACTATGCAGCAATCACTTCTTGCCTGAGTTAGATCCAGATGTACTTAATGGCGGAAGAGTTCAGCTTGTGGTAAGAAATGTGTTTAAAGTTACAGAAAAACATTGTAGACACATTACTCAATAAATGGCACTATAAGGTATGTCTATAACTACCGTACATTATGAAAATATCACAACTCTATTTGGGGGTAATCTCCAAATACTATGCATTAAAATTATAACATGCTTTCTTGACATTTAATATAATTGAAAATATATTACTTCAAAATATTAATTCTATATAGAATATTTTAAAATAATCACATGCTACCAAATTTTTAAAAATTACTCTGGATAGGAAATTGCATAATGAAATTATTTTCTTGAATATTTTAAAAGAGTAGGATATTTGAGGGAAACATCAAAGAACCCTCCCACCTCTGCAAATTACACCAAATAAAAGTTAACAAGTTATTATGACGTTAACTGCTGTAAGTAATAAAGTGTGAACTATTAGAGCTTTAGTGAAAACCAAGTTCTAAACATGGGATCAGAATGTAGACTCTAGACAGTGTAACTGTATGTTCATTACCAAAGTCAATTGTACTGTATGCTATTAGAAAGAAGATGGCGTTAATAGAAGGAAAATGGCCAATATGGAATCTAGAGAAATGGAGCCCACAAAACAAGAAATTTTCAGTGTGTTTCCAGAAGTTTCCAGAGGAGAGAGTACCTTACCCAGTGACAAAAGTCTGTGGCTTCCTTGGCAGGTAAAAAATGGATGCATCCTATGACCCAACTTTATAACACATTCATTTACATCAACCAAATGTATTATTCATTCAGATTCTGTATTCAACAAGAAAACTGATAATTTAGCTTTTGATGTAGAATTTAGTATAAAAAGATAATGTATTTTCTAATGCAAACCAGTATTATGGTATCCAGTGTAGTTATATTCATCATTCTCATGAGCCACTCAATTCAAGGGGTTTTCCTAAAATAGGAAGATATAAAGACAACAGCTAAAATTAATGTTTATGAAAATATTTATAGAATGTATGCACAAATTTGAAATAATTATTCAGCAAATATTTGCTTACTTTAATAGAGATCCCTGTGGCAGAGGAGCATGCAGATTACCCCAGAAAAATGGGCAATTCAGGCTATTAACACCATGCATAATACTGACTAAGACTTACAGATTTTTGACAGCCACTTTGGAGCAAGAATGGGGAATATAAAAGTGCCAAGGAATTCCAGGAGCAAGAAAGTGATATTAGATTTAATGATTATACTTCTAAGGATTAGTGAAAACAGATGGGATAGATTACTAATTAAAATGGTTCTATGAGATTAATGGTCTGACATTAATCTCCTTCCTCCATGTCCCACTATATTCCACTACATACAAATATAAGCACCCTATTTGTGCTGGGGAACTAGAGGCAGGTAATTGCATGACTGGGACCAGGCCATAAATAAGGGGAAAATTTATTTTTAAAACTGCAACTGTTGCTACTATAAGATCCTCAAAGACATAAGAATAACACCTATAAATAAAGTGTACAAAGAATTATGGAATAAAAGTTATCAAGTTTTAACTAACTGATAGATATGCAAAAGAACCTGTTATAAATTCTGGAAATTAAAAGAAATATTATCATTGAAATGAACTGTGGACTAGACACCATAAAAGAGAGAATTAATGAATTGAGAGATGATTTACAAAGGAATAATAATTAGATTGAGAGTTGACATGATATCAGCAACAATACATATCAAAAGATAATGGAGTTGTTTCTTAATAATAGGGTAAATATAAATATTATCTATAGTACTCTTCACTAATATTCAAGAGTGAAGACAGAATAAGACAGAATCAAACATTCAAATGCTAAGTATTGAGGAAGCTAAAAAATAAAAAACCTGTCTTTTAAGGAAGATCAAATCATATTATGTGACAGTATGGAATGAAAAATATGGAAACAAATATCACTTTACTTCTAATATATATCAGAAAGCATGTCACTGATCTATAGAATTGTATTGTTGATTAAATGTATCCCCTAAAATGCCAGGATTTTCCTGCAGAAGATAGTCACAGTTCAGATTCCACAGGAAAACGTACTTTGAGATTCTGATAATTGAGTGTAGGATGTTTATTGGGGAAGGCTTTCAGAAACAATTGCTTTTTGGAATTAAAGAAAGGATTATTGAGCAGAAGATTTGAAGACTTGAGTGTGAAAGTTAAAGCTATACAACTGACCAAATAAAATATTTGTGACTTAGCAGTGAAGAAAGACTTCTTTAAAAAGATACATATAATACAAATTATATGTAAAAAAATTGATTTACTTGACTATATGAAATTAAATATTCCTTCCTTTGAAGAATTTGACAGATTACAGACATGGGCAAACTATTTTCAGCACCTAAAGCCAATAATAAGTTAGCATCTAAATATTGGAAAAAAAACTGCAAATGAACAATATACAGTTAGGTAACCCAATGAAAGAGAAATAGAGATACAATAGAAAAAGAATATACATAGACAAGTTCACAAGGATAATGCCTAAATGCATAAATGTATATGAACACATGCTCAGTTGCATGACCAGAGGAATAAAAATTACAACTAAGAAACCTCCTGACCATATTCATCAAAAGGCAAAAATTAGAAAATTGGGTCATGCAATGTGCTATCAACAGTGTGGTTGATAATTGCACAATTGGAACCAGGCCATCAATAAGAGGAAAATTTGTTTTTAAAAATGCAACTTTATTGTAATAAATACATTTGGTGTATTTGATGTACAACTGGTGAAAGTAGAAGATGGTACAGTCATTCTGGAAAGAAATCTGTCAGTGTTTATTAAAGTAGGTCTTTGTATTCTTCAAGCCCATCCTTGAAGAAAAAACAATCTATATATAACCTATAGATACACATATAGATATGGATATATAGATACCTGTGGATATAGGTATCTATGTATATGTAGAGAGAGAGATATAGATGATATAGATAGGTAGATGCCATATTACTCTTCAAGCCTATTCTTGGAGAAAAAAATGAGAGATATGTATACATGTATATAGATATATATAGATGTACACAGATACGTAACTATCTTCACAAAAAATTAATTTAGAAAACATCCCATTCACCACAATATAAGAAATATAAAATATTTAAAAATAATGTTAATATTAAGATGTTTAAGGACTCCCCAATAACAATCAAGCATTGCTTTAAAAACATCAAAGAATATACCATATTCATGAGGAGGAATGCTAAAATTGTATATCAGTTCTCACCAAATGATATATGAATTCAGTATACTCCTAGAAAGATTTTTAGTAGAAGTGGACAAATTTTTTAATTTATACAGGAAAACAAAGCACCCAGAATAGTCAAAGCAATCTTGAAGAATAATAACATTCATGCTGATTTCAAAATTTTCTATAAAGCCCCAGTGATCAACAATGTGTGTTATATATATAAAGATAGAAAAATTAATCAATGGAAAAGAATAGAGTCCAGAAAAATACTGCATTTATAAGGTTAATTGATTTTCCTTAAAGATACCAAGGCAATTAGAAGAGGGAAAGAGTAATTTTTTTCAACTAATAATGCTGGACAACTGGATATCTACATGGAAAAAAAAGTGAATCTTTACTCCTACTGCACATCTCACTCAGGAAATGAGTTTAATGCCTTTTTGTTCTGCTGCTGGTGTCCTTTGCTCTACAGAACTTTTTTAGTTTGATGTAGTCCCATTTGTTCTTTTTTGCTTTTGTTTCCCTTGCCCAAGGAGATGTGTTTGGGAAAAAGTTGCTCATGTTTATATTCAAGAGATTTTTGCCTATGTTTTCTTCTATGGTTTATAGTTTCATGACTTACATTCAGGTCTTTGATCCTTTTTCAAGTTTACTTTTGTGTATGGGGTTAGACAATAATCCAGTTTCATTCTCTTGCATGTAGCTGTCCAATATTGCCAACACCAGTTGTTGAAGAGGCTGTCATTTCCCCATTGTATATCCATTGCTCCTTTATCGTATATTAATTAGCCATATATGTGTGGGTTTATATCTGGGCTCTATTCTGTTCCATTGATCTATGTGTCTGTTCTTGTGCCAGTACCAATTGTTTTGATTACTGTGACTTTGTAGTAGAGGTTAAAGTTGGGGAACATAATCCCCCAGCTTTATTCTCCCTTCTCAGGATTGCTTTGGCTATTTGGGGGCATCTTACAGTATGGGAGAATATATTCATAAATGACATGCCCAATAAGGGGTTAACATCCAAGATACATAAAGAGCTCACACACCTCAACACCAAAAAAGCAAATAACATGATTACAAAATAGATGGAGGATCTGAACAGACACTTGTCAGAGAAGAAATTCAGATGGCCAACAGACACATGAAAACATGTTCCACATTGCTAATCATCAGGGAAATGCAAATTAAAACCACATTGAGATATCACCTCACACCAGTTAGGATGGCCAACATCCAAAAGACAAGAAACAGCAAATGCTGGTGAGGATGCAGAGAAAGGGGAACCCTCCTACACTATTGGTGAGAATGTAAATTGATTCAACCATTGTGGAAAGCAATGGAGGTTCCTCAAAAAAACTAAAAACAGAAATAGCATTTGACCTGGGAATTCCACTCCTAGGAATTTACCCAAAGAAAACAAGAACACTGATTCAAAAAGACATATGCACCCCTATGTTTATTGCTGCACTATTTACAATAGCTAAAATATGAAAGCAACCTAAGTGTCCATCAGTAGGTGAATGGATGAAGAAAAAGTAGTACATATACACAATGGAATATTATTCAATCATAAAAAAAGACAAGAAACCCTCCCATTTGCAACAACCTAGATGGATCTAAAGGGTATTGTGCTCAGTGAAATAACTCATGGGTAGAAAGACAAATACCAAATGACTTCACTCATTTATGGAGTATAAAAACAAAGCAAAACTGAAGGAAAAAAATAGCAACAGACTCACAGACACCAAGAAGGGACTAGTGGTTACCAAGAGTGACACACTGGGGAGGGTGAATGGGTAAGTAGAAGGGGATTAAGGGGCAATATAATTCACAATCACAATATAGGTGTGTCCTGGGGGAGGCAATACAGCTTGGAGATGACAATTAATGATTTATTAATATCTTACTATGGTGACAGTGACTGCAGTAGAGGGGGTAAGGACTTGATAATATGGGAGAATGTTGGAACTACTGTGTTGTTTATGTAAAATTGTCTTAAGATTGCATATCAATGATACTTTAATAAAAAAAGTAAAATAAAAATAAAAAACTAATGCGTAATTGCTGTGGCAACACTATATTAAATAAAAGTGCTAAGAATGGACATCCTTGTCTTATCCCTGATCTTAGAGAAAGAGCTTTCAGCTTTTCTCCACTGAGTATGATATTAGCTGAGGGGTTGTCTTATATAGCCTTTATTTTGTTGAGGTCCTACTTTGTTGAGTTTTTAATTAAATAGATGTTGAATTATGTCAAATAATTTTTCTATTTCTATTTAGATGATAATATGATTTTTATCCTTTGTTTTGTTAGTGTGGTGTATCATGACTGATTTACAGATATTGAGCCATCCTTGCATCCCTGGAATAAATCCCACTTGATCATGGTGTATAATCTTTTTCATGTATTGTTGAATTTGGTTTGCTCACATTTTGTTGAAGATATTTTCATCTATGTTCACCAGGTATATTGACCTATAATTTTC